CTAATCTTACCTGTGTCAGCGTGCCATAAACAGTGTCAGTGTCAGACTTAGTTCATCAAAAAAGAATATTCTCTTATCACTTACCCTTCCAAACCTTTATGACATTTTTCTGTGGTACGTAAGATAAGATGTTTTAAAGAATGTTGGTTACCTTACCAGTTTAGTCATTTTGCCACTTTCATTGCATGGACATACTGAGGCATTTTTAATAATATCAAATGTGGATTTGATCTTGGCAGCTGTTGTGATCTGATGTTGGGGTCTGTCATGTTTCTGGTAGGTGTCAAGGACAGCCACTCGGCCCATTGCATCAGGGGAGATCACACCGTTTCGGGCTCTGGTTTTCCTCGGAGGCCAGCTGAGTTTAGCACTGGGGGTCCTGCTGTGCCTCAATTACTACAGGTATTTCATATTTTAGTTTTTTTAAACAATATTTGTATGTATTTTTTGCCAACCATTGGGAATTTTTACTTTCAAGTTGATATTATACTAATAGCAAGGAGCTCGTAGGCTGCTCTGCCGTACATTGTCAAAACAACAGCAGTTATACTCTACACAGGTCATTAAACTACATTATCACATCTGGTTGAATGATTCTGATTGGTTAAGGCACAGATAAACTTAGAAAATTTCAACATATGGCTGTTCATCAGGGGGCGCATTACAAAAAGATCCTAACTTTAGAATCCTAACCATGTAACCATGGCAATTTCAGTTTGGACCTCGTTTAGGACAAAAGCTATTACAAAATGACATTTCTTAAGTGCAAAATCTTATCTTAAGTTACCACAGATAGGAAAATGGTAGAAGCATCCTAACCCCACAAAAAAAATCCTAAAAACTGTCTTAACTTTAGGACAACCCCAATGGTGTCAAAATAATTTGAAAGCCAACTATAAAAATCACATAATAATAGCCCTGTTTGAGAATGACGTTGCATTTTTTTAATGATACAAGATGAAGAACAGTTTGATGGTGGAAAGACTTTGTGAACACCCAAAAGATGTACTTCACTTTGACAACAAAACTCTGACAAATAATTACAGACTCCTATGAAATAAAAGGATTAGGCTTTGCCTTATCTGCCAAGCTTATCAAAACTTTACTCAATGAAAAGCACCACTTATTTTGTTTCTCCATTTTAATCTCAGTTATTTATCTGAGTTTTTTCCGTTTTACTTCACAGCAGCTGTTTGCACATAGTTGGTTGCTTGGTAACAGACCTTAGAGTTGATTACCGAACTCGCTGGAGGGGTTTAAGATTTCCTAACTACAGATAAGATGAGATTTTGTAAGATAAATCAACATAAGATTTGCTTCTGTAATACAAATTTGTGAAAAATCCTAAATTAACTTGTCTGATCTAAACTTAAGACTTAAGATAGAACGTTTCTGCAATACGCCCCCAGAAGCCGATCTCCATTTATTATCAGGATGTCAGTCCAAATCCTGGTTTAGGCACAAAGTCACTGAGGTCACCAATCTGAGTTTCTAGGCTCCAGTTTGTTTGTCAGATGGTAATTTCATCTCCCCTGGCCCTGCATGTCAGTTGCTCACCTCACAAACGTCAGCTTCCGTTACAAAAGGGTACAAACACACACACACACAGTGATACACAGATACACAGCTTTTTCAATGTCTGAGTTGGTTGAGCTCTAGCTCTGACGAGGAGCTTTCCCAAAACATAATAAGGTATACTTTCTCTAGTCATTATTCTCTAGTGATTGAAGATGAAAAGTAAAGTAAATGCTTTTATATAAGCTTGAAGATGTAATTTAGAAGGATACATTTTAATTAATAACTTGATTACCAACCATTTAAAGGATATACATTGAAACGGAAGTGGATTCAAGAATCCACCCCTTCAATGCAAATAAGCAAATACCATCGATTTACAACCGTGTAGCTCACTGTAGGTCTGTCTTTAAAGGTTTATAAATTGTTGTTAAAAATCAATTTTCCTGTGGAGAGTTTTTACTTCTGGAACAAACCTGTTGTACTCTATTAGCAAACAACAACGATCCAAACAAGTCCCTGCATTTTTTTTCTTGTTAGAGAAGCTAGGGCTGCGTCTGAAACCGCTCACTCGTTCACTCATTCACTAATCCCTATATAGTATATGGCATTTAAGTGCACTATATCTGCAAGGAGTGAATGAAATGAAGTGAGTGAATTCGGACGCTGACGGTTACACTGCATCGGAGAGCTGGAGCTGTCGCAGAAACGGCTTCGTCACACGTAGTGATAAAACTCCTTTTATCTTACGTTACTTACTTTATAAAATAATATTAACAACAATAACAATTATAATGACTTTATTTTGTAATTATATATACCTCCGTGCCAGCTTTGTAGTTTCATCGATTGAAATTGTGAGAAACTCACGCTCACAGATGACGTGGTCGTCGAGCGCCCTTAGGCGACCGTTATGATTACATTCGAATGAACAGATGATTAACGAATATTTTTAAATCATCCACCAAATTATCATCCCTTCCTTACAGTTTAACGAATTAACAACAATGCCACAAATGATTAAAACACCTGGCTTATAGTAAAACACATTAAATTGAGTTAAAGCCTAAATAATATATTTTAATTAAAAAAAAAATATAGGCCTATACCTATATAATTTACCCTATTAATATCAGTTCATTTTAAATTTAACATTCATCTATATAATATTTTCTCAATATTTTAATGTGTTTTATTCAAGTAATGATTAATATAAAAAAAAAGAAAAAAGCTGTAAAGTAATTTCTGGTTTGCACTTTCACGCGCACTCAGTCCTCTACGCATTGGATTCTGGGAAATAGTGATTCAGCAAGCATAGACATAATATTTATTATGTCTATGTCAGCAAGTGTACATTGGATGTACACTCAAAATCAGAGAGGATTGTGGTTAAAAGTAGTGAACGAATGTAGGGAATGATGTCGTTCACTCAGAATTCGGACACCACTACAAAATGGCCGACACCCTATATAGTGCACTATATAGTGGATAGGGAGCGATTTCAGACACAGCTCATGTCTTTAAAATACACATTACAATAGGAAGAAAAGCTGATTACAATATTTGTTTCATGCCGGCTTTAATTTCTGATAAACTGTGACTTTCCATCTCTCTCTAGCATAGCTCTTGGAGCTGCTTCTTTGTCGCTGGTGGTCACATACCCTCTCATGAAGAGAATCACATACTGGCCGCAGTTTGTTTTAGGTGTGTTACCATTTATTTAATCTTTCTCAAACCCCACCCTTCCATATTACTCTAAAAAATCTAATAAAAGTGAAAGTACTTAGACTGAACATTCTGTGCATGATTTGTCCACCTGTAGGTCTCACTTTTAACTGGGGTGCTCTTCTGGGTTGGTCTGCTGTGAAGGGATCATGTGACTGGTCTGTGTGTTTACCTCTCTATGTGTCTGGTGTCATGTGGACATTGATTTATGACACAATCTATGCCCATCAGGTACGGTGTCCGATTAGTTATCACACCCTAACATAAAGGAGTGGAGTGTACATTTTTCTGATTCACCTCCCTCTCGTGAGTAGGACAAAGATGATGATTTAAAAGTGGGTGTGAAGTCTACAGCTCTGAGGTTCCAGGAGAACACCAAACTGTGGCTGAGTGGCTTTACAGGGGCGATGTTGTCAGGGCTGGTTCTAGCGGGACTTAATGCGGACCAGACTTTGCCCTTCTATTGTGCGGTGTCTGCAGTGGCTATTCATCTCGCACATCAGGTGAGCAAGACAAACTGTAATTGATAATAGTGGCCTGCCTGGGGTTACAAAAAAATTAAGCCTTTAGCTGTATTTGGATGGCCATGTGGAGGTCTGTAAAAATAAATTTGCATGGCACCTCAACTATAAAATTCATGGATTTGGATGGCAAGGTGTTCATGGTGTAGGAGCGAGTTCTGTGACCCTCATGTGGTCAGTCACATGATTGTCAGCTGTAAACAAAATGCATATGCTTGTAATTATATTAATATTTTTTTTTATTATTGTTGCTTAATCTGTTTATTGAACTTTTACAATATTAACAGGATAATGAAACAGGAGAATAAGATTTTTAATTTAATAATAGGAAAATAATATCCTGTTTAATATTTGATTATTTACATTTAGCAAACGCTTTTATCCAAAGCAACTTACGAATGATGAGAGTAATAGAAAGTCAAATCAACAATATGCAAATGTCGTGACCAGTCTCACTCTTATTTAAATCTCCTATTAAAAAAAGACATGCTGTAGTTAAAATGGTTTATCTTGCATTTTCTCAAAATGGTCAGAATGAAGGTTTTGAATATTTGTGCAAGCCCTAATTTATATAAATGTATACAATATTTTTACCATAATAATGAGCCATTTCAAAAGTTTGCGAATTTTTCCCCCCTCTTTTTCTCAACAGCTCCAATTCACTGTAGTGGAGCAGTAATGTAACAAAAAAAAAAAAACATTTGGGATTAAAACTACTTGCATGAAATGCTAGATTAATTTATCTTATTACCTGCATATCAATATTTGCTGAGGAAATCTCTCAAATAAAATAAGTTTTGCATTGACAATATTATGTGTGTTGTGTGTGTTCCATAGATCTACGCTGTGGACATCAACAGACCTGAGGACTGCTGGAAAAAATTTGCTTCAAACCGAAACCTCGGACTGCTTTTATTCTTAGGAATAGTGACTGGAAATTTATGGAAAAAGAGAAACGATGATCAGTATGAAACGCAGCTTAACTCCATTTCAAATTAGAGTCTGTTGGTTGTGCGACTTGTAATAATACCATTGATTTACGAGACATGTAATGTAAACCAGCGTTTCTTTTAAAATATTTATTAAATTGCTACAAACTGGCTCTATTTATTAAATAATTAGAAAACGTACATAACATCTATAAAATTAATTTTAACATCGAGAACAGTGCCAGAAAGTTAAACCTACATAGACCAAAAACACCCAAATATTTTTATACAGTGAATACAAATATAAAAACAACAATGAAAATGACCCCCCTATACAGGTCGATTACAGTATCTGAATCAGATTTGGATTGTTTTAGTAGAGTAACAGAGAAGAGGCCAGCTATTTGTGCATTGTATGCAAAAGAAAATCTGAGGCACCGTGAACGTACCGAAAGAGACTGTAAATCACAGGTAAGAATGTATGGTCATATTTGATGGGAATGGTTCATTTGGATGAAGAAGCGTGTCATTGAGTAATGAGGTCACGAGGAAGCTCTTTCTTCATATGGAGACTCGTAGGCGTCCATGGGTGGACAGGTGCAGACGAGATGTTGGTCTCCGTAGATGTCATCGATCCTTGAGATTGTGGGCCAGAATTTGGTCTCAGGTCTCACAAAAGGCTGGAATAACAGGGTTAAAGATACATTTTAAAACTGGATGAATAAGAACGCATTTGTTTTGTGCGAGGAGTCTGTATTTTACATTGATTTAAGGTACGCACCATGGGGAAAGCAGCATCCTCTCGGGAATACGGTCTGTCCCATGTGGTCGAGGTAATAGTGGCCAATGAGTGAGGAGCCATCTTTGGACGACACATACAAGACAAAATGAAAGTTACATCGGGCAAGGCTATATGCTCATGTTTTTAATAAAGCGCTTCTATTAATTCTTCTGTACATAAATGTGTCTAATTTGAGTAGGCAAGAGGGATACAAATAGTCCTGTTAAGTTAACGCTCACCTTGAGAGGATTAACCCTCGAGTCCATCCGGCCCTCTTCGATGTCTGCGATTTCCTGTCGGATGGCCAGCAGCGAGTCACAGAAGCGATCGAGCTCGGCCTTATCCTCAGACTCCGTGGGTTCGATCATTAGAGTTCCAGCCACAGGCCATGACATGGTCGGTGCATGAAAACCTGCCATAAAAGGTTGTGGAGAATCAGGAAATTGTCATCCATGAGATAACCTGCTTTAAATGTTTTTCTATTTACCATAATCTTGCAGTCTTTTTGCTACGTCAACTGCCTCGATGTTTGCAGACTTTTTAAAAGGCCGCACATCCAAAATAAATTCATGAGCAACGAATCCTGCAAATAATCAGAAATGTTTGTGAGGTACTTCAGTTTTTAGTTTTTTTTTAAGATCAGAAAATACAATATTTCATTCAATAACGCCAACCTTTAGTGCCCCTGAAAAGAATTTTGTAGTTGTTTTCCAGTCTTTTAGCCATGTAATTGGCATTAAGGATGGCCACCTCTGTAGCGTGTCCAAGACCCTTTGAACCCATCATCTGTTGAATGGAAAGTTAATAAAATATAAGATTAATAAATCAGGGGTGCATGATATATTGGTACCATATCAGCCAATATTAGTTATTTATTTATTCGTATTAGCTTGATATTGTGCAGCTCATTTCCTCTATTTTACATTACCTTTGCCATCATCTAAAACTCATTTAAAAGTTAATATTTAAAATCACTAGTAATTTAATCACAATGCAATCTTTAGCAAATATTAAAGTAAATGTTGTACCATATAACGTTGTGATGCCCAAATACACATGTAGGATTTAAAATGACTTTTTTAGCGTTTTATTTTTTTTATACATTTAGGCAAATAGTATAGAAATGTAGGTAATACTTTGCAATAAGGTCTCATTTGTTAACGTTTTGTTCATTGTTAGTTTGTTAATTAATAACAAAGCCTTTGGCTTGCTCAGTTGGGGATATTCAAATTAAATGACCCATCATACCACTGATCAGCTCTACCAAACTTGGATGTCTTTTCCAGTAATAAACAAACACTGTTAAGTTGTTTTGATTGATACTGTGAAGCAGCTTTGATACAATCTGTATTGTGAAAAGCGCTATATAAATATATTTGACTTGACTATAACAAAGATTATTAAATACTGTAGTTTATGTATATGTTAGTTAATAAAAATACAGTTGTTCATTGTTTGATAGGTTCAGTGCTTTAAATAAATGTTAACAAATACAACTTTTGATTTTAATAATGTATTAGAAAATGTTGAAATTAACATTAATTTAGATTGATAAATGTTGAAGTATTCTTAGTTCATGTTAAATTAAGTAGTTAACTAATGAAACCTTATTAAATGTAACCGAAATGTAATATAATTAGTCTGTTTCGGTCAATGTTAATATCAGTACATCACTAATATTCACAAGGTAAGACAGGAAGTGCAGAGGGAGTGTTGACCTTAATGTAAGCCCATGAGATGGGCAGGATAGCGCTGGAGCCCCAGGGAGCGGCGCTGATGGTGCCCAGAGAACTTCCTGCATTCGTGAACTGAATGTTCACCACTGGATGATTGGGCAGGAAGGGGGCAAGATGCTGTTTTCTGTAGGCAAAAAAGTAATTAGGTTAACTGGAGTCAACAGATCAACATTTCTGGTACAGGAAGGTCTGTTCAAAAACACTTACACTCCGATTGGTCCCATTCCAGGGCCGCCACCACCATGAGGAATGCAGAAGGTTTTGTGGAGATTCAAATGAGAAACATCTGAGCCATAGTCTCCTGGTCGACATAATCCAACCTGAATCAAATGGAAACAAGAACATGAAAACTCCAAAAAGAAAATGCACATTTAACCCTCAGACGGTCTTCGTTTCGGAGTCACATCCTGGGCCTTCCCGGTCAGAAGTGACCGGACACCTAAAAATGAAACTTCATACATCCCAGTAAAACCAATCCAATTTATTTTTGTTCTATAATATTTATTCTTTTTAATTTAGTATTTTGAGACAATTTGATTGAACATTAATATTTATGGTAAATTTTTTGCCATTGAAAATAATGAATTTTTTATTTTATTTTTAATTTATTTTTCTTCTATGCAGTATTTTCGGTTAAAATAGAGACTAGGCTTTCAGAAAAAAAAAAGAAAAATTAATCAATTTATTAAACATAAAATTAAATAAATCATGTTATTGCATGGGTTTACCACTAGATGCCTGTATAGCTCTAAATGGAGATGCTTGTGAATTCTAGTTGTTTTTGGACCAAATTACTTTTAAGATGTGGATTGAATGTATTTTTTAGAAATTCTCAAATAATACTTTTTGCCAAGGTTTATAACATTTTATTAATTATTATTTTAATAATTTTAATAATTATTATATTAATTATATATATATTAATTATGATTATTAATTATGTTATGTTTTTCACTCTTGATGTTTTAGAGTTTCACCCCTTCATTGCTGAGCACTTTTTTCTTCATCGTGGCCGATTTGTAGATAATTTTTGTGTTTTTGTCAATTTCCCATTAATTTCCTATGGGGGTCATTTTTGACCGAAGACCAAAATCGTCACTAGATTTTTTGTAATCTGAATTTATTGGTGTGTATGTGTATAAAAGTGTGTTTGTATGTGTGTGTGTGTGGGTGGGTGTGAATTTTTTGCACTCTTGATGTTATAGAGTATCACCCCTTTACTGCGGTGTACTTTTTTTTAGAATCGTGGCCGATTTGTAGATTGTACAGACAAGATTTCTGAGAATTTTTGTGTTTTTGTAAATTTCCCATTCATTTCCTATGGGTCGGTCATTTTTGACCGAAGACCACAAGTGTGACTATTTTTTTTACGACCACTTAGCATGCTCGGATCATGACCTCAATTTTTTTTTTTATTCACATACCTAATGCCATAAAAGTCACCAAGTTTCATAACATTCCAATGAAGCTGTGATTTTTAGAAATTCAAAACAGAAAATTTTCCGGTCATAAATGACCGAAGACCGTCTGAGGGTTAATGTAAAACAGTGAAAACCGCTCTTATTGTAACAAGCTTCTAAAATGTATACAGCATTTATTAATAATATTAATTCAGAATCATGGTGCACAGTTTACTCTAATGCATATACAACTGTTAATGTAAACAAAAATTAGACGTTAAGATTAACCAAGAGAGTAATAAATGCTGTAAAAGCATTGATCATTTTTAGTTCATGTTAACCATTGCCTAACTAATGTTAATGATTACTATTAGAGCTGCATGAGAACCATCTTTTTTTTTATTTTTTTTTTTATATAGAGATCACCAATCTGAGTAAACAACTAAGCATAACAACATGTAATTTACTAGAGGTTCTGACAAAATGTTAATTGCTGCTGTCTATTTAAAAGTGCTTAATTTGATTCTTTTTTTTTTTTATCGGTTTGATTTATTGAATCAGTCAAATACTTCACTGGTTTCATTACTGGATGAATCAATTAATTTTTGATAGAATCTCTTGAAAAAATGATGCAATGAGAAATACATTTTTTAAAAGTCACTTGACGCCACCTACTGATGTAACGCGCCAAGTTACTTTCAAAAGGTGATGTGCTCTATTTTAATCGCTACCGTAAACGTCCGTGTTTATGTGAACAATAAACTTTTATCCCAGTACTTCTGTGATAATTTGAATATTTGTAACAGAAATAACAATACTGTGTGGTTGAAAAGACCTTTGTGTGGTTTCATACCTATGCAACTGCTCTCTCTGGCTCAGCAGCAGCGCAAACCCAGATTTAAATGTTCCGGTGTGATTTCATCAAAGGTTTAATAGACATAGCCGAATTGTTGTCATTGAGGAGTAAGATCATGTAGATGTTTGAATCGAGATCACGATCTTTTAACGATTAATCGTGCAGCTCTAATTACTACAGTACTGTAAAGCCTTACGGTTCCATCTTCATCTTACCTGTGCGTTCATGTTGGCACCATCCAGGTACACCTGTCCACCGTTCTGATGAATGAGCTCACACACTTCACGAACGTTCTCCTCAAACACACCGTTAGTGGAGGGGTAGGTGATCATTATGGCGGCCAAGTTGGCCTTATGTTTGTCCACCTATCAAAAACGTGGTAAAGTGAGTCTTAAAGGGTGAAGAGTGTCATTTTCCCTAGCCCAGACATAACCAAGCCATTCATAGTTTGATTCCCACCAAAAAGTATGAACACTAGGCTTTCAAAACATTTGAGCATCATGACACAGCAACAATGTGTGAGTTGGGACTATTTGT